ACCTATAACCATCTGGTTTCTAGTCCAGAAGCTCTATCACTAAGCTACAGGAGTTTCGTGGGGTTAAGGCCACTACAAAAAATCATTTTTGAGGCCGAAAAGTGGAAAAAGTTTGGCTGGCTATTTCTACTTTCTGCCGGCCTGTGAAACCAGCACCTGTTTACTGTATAAGGATTTAAGTTTCTCAATAATGAAGCAATATAACTGTAACGAGTTTTTTTTTCGGTACAAAGAAACACCACTTGTTCAGCTGATTTTGAATAGACTAAGCTGAAAGAGAATGCTTTGAGGAAAACGCGGGTACTGGGGAGATATCTTTTACGTGTCAGATCGGCAGTTGCAACCTATACTTTCACAGATTTCTTCCGCCCTGGAAAGTAACATACCTGCTACAAAGCTTCTTCCTACCTGATGGTAGACAACCCAGCTATTTCAGATGCCAACCTCGTAGTAATGATACACATACGCCGCATCATCCGTAATTCAGTCACTAAATCGCCTTTACACGCGCGGCAACAGAAAACTGTTCTTACACGTCTAATCTCGCTTACAGGGTTTTTCACTGCGAGGCTACAACAGAAGTGCAAATGTTTTGTTTTTGTAGCCGCGTCATGATGGAGATCTGGTTTTGACAAGATCCAAATGACAAATAGTCAGAGAGTATTGTGACCGTGACGAACGAGACAATTAATTAAAAGTAAGTCAAGTATATGTAACCGAGATGTTAAAAAAAGCCAAAAAAAAATGATCTATAAAACTATAAAAAAAGACCATTGATAATGAATTTTAAGCCACATTTGCATACGCTTGTGCGCGAACGTTACAAAATTAAAATGCACGGACCGACGATTTTATTTCTTATTCTTCGATTCCTTACTTTGTTAATGCCCGTTGGGAATTTAATGTAAAACCATTGAATTGTTTTTTCAACCAAAAAAAACACAACGCTTAATTAGACATCAGCATTAGACTAAGAAGATGAATTTCATCTTTAAAGCTAGTGACTGTGAATCCTTCAATCAGAACATCGAGTAGCAGGAGTGGCAAATGCCACTGAGGGAAAATTAGTGATCAGCCATTCGAAAATTGAACAAAAATCTCTTTCACGAAGTCGGTTTAGTTTGGCCGGCAACAAGATATAATAGTCTATTCAATTTCAACAGTTATAGATCAAAACAATCAAGCCTTTTGTTCGACATTGCCATTTAAAAGTCATTCAATAATAGTTCATTAGTAACTCCTTAGGGCTTGACGTAGACTGTCATTATCATGCAATTATCAAAAAATTGGCCATTTCAAAGAAAGCACCTTTTACATTGCTGTTTGTAATAAGCGACTCAGTCATAAACAACTCGTAGGTAGATCAAGACAAAAAACTGTCTTTTTCTCCAATTAACTTTACTATCCTTATCAAATGGAGGAGGTTTGTCATGAGACCGTTATATAGTTAAATAATATCAGTCCAAGAGTCGGTTTTCAAAAGGAAGAGGATTCCATCCATTGCCGATTGCTATTCAGGTCGATATGATATTTCGTAAGTAGTTCTTAAGAAAGAAGAGAGTGACCCACTCTACACCTACTCAGTTTAGTGGTATGATAGTATACTCTGCGTTCCATAATGGTCCTCTTATACTTGACTATCTTAACTGGTTGGTAAAAAAATAGATTGAAGTTTTTACTATAACTTTAACTTGATCCTTATTAACTTTGTAAACACAAATTGAGACCGGACAATGGTTGTTAACGAAGCTGTCCACACTGATATTGGCCCGTTTACGAAAATATCCGTTTGCGAGGGCGTTTTACGCAACTCATCTTGACTTCACGCACAATGATGAACTTAATGGGCTCTCATGTGGGTATGACCTACCAGCCTCCTACTCAGTTTCCTCTAAATAACGCGCAAGGTGGAAAAGCCTTCGCACGCATCTCAATATCTAGTCTACTTTAATTCGCTGATACTGCACATGTAGGTAGGATTGGCTTAAAATGCAACCTAAGTTAAATAAGCTTATAAAACGGCATTCATGTTAAGTAAACACTGGCAGAAGCACATGTAAACAACATTTAAGAACTCGTTCAGTTTGTTCGCCAATTAACAGCTGCAATTAACAGAAAAAAAAACGGTTAAAATTGAAAAATTGAAAAAAAAAGCTTTCTTCCATGCCTACTTTTTAACTCTTTGAAAGAAAAGAGTGAAAGTATAGTGTTAGAACTAAAACGCAGTAGATCATATCAAAACGTAACGAGCCATTTTTAAACGGCAGTTCGTACCCGATACTCATGTTAAATCAGCCCCATAATAAAGCAGTATTACTTTTCTTGAGATAGCTTGCCCACAGGAAAATGATATACCAACCCCTTTCTTTTAAGAGCCGTGTAAAAATCATCAAGTATATACTGAGGAAGAAACAAGAAATGATGAGTTAATGATACAAAGAAGACTGCACCGGCAAAGACCACATATCAGACTCAAATGAAGCCCTCTTTTTTAGTCGAGTCTGGTCTGCCCGGCCTTCACTAAGTCTGCAGCGCAGAAATTATATATTTCAAAAGAACTTGAATATTCTCTACAAATATATGACATGCATGATTTTGTTACTTTTTAGAATAAAAGGAAAGCGATGAGGTACCACCACAGTGTTACAGAATCAGCTGAACTGTGTGGTTGGAGTGCAGCTTTTGCGGTGATGGCGATCTCGGTGGTGATGGTGAACACCTTGACGTTGATCACCTTCATAAAAACCAAGTTTCTCTTGACGCGGAAACATGTAATCATCATCAACATCACTATTGCTGATCTTCTATTTGGAGCTGCAGGACTTTCATCAGGAATGTTATACCTTCTTAAACCGTCGGAATTTTCCTTCTTCCTTCTTCGTGCCACAATCGGCTTCACAAAAATGTCGACTCTTATTTCCACCGGCGTGCTTGCTGTTGAGAGAATGTGCGCCATTGGTTTTCCTCTTCGTCACAAAGTTTTAACTAACAGAGTTTACAAGGTAACTTTGATATTCATTTGGATTATATCAGCTGTGAACACAATTATGGTTACACTCTACTGGGCTGACGTCTGGGGACATATACTGATGGCATCCGGGGGGTCACTTTTATTTTCTACAGGAGTGGTTTTCATGGTGGTTTTTTGCCACGTCATTATCTGGATTTTATTCCGACGAAGTAATCGACGTCACAGACTACCATCTAATCCTCGAGACAAAGCATTAGCTACAACACTATTGTACGTCACCAGCGCTTTCATAATAACATGGGTGCCTCTGACGTTGTATTTATCAATTGCCCATGTTTGCAAAAGCTGCGTGAAACCAACACAAGAAGAAAGGATATCATTTGGCATACTTCTTGCGCTGGGTATCCAGTCGCTTATCAATACAGTCATTTACTGCTTTAGACTCCAAGGATTTATGGTTAGTCTCAAAGCCCAGGCGAAGAAAATAAAATGCTTAAAAAAAGAAGCGTCCTCTGAAAAAGCATCTAAAAGAAAAACTACCGTCTATCCAGAGGAACTTGACTTTTGCGCGGTGATTCCACCGCAAGAAATAAAGAACTAAAAAAAATTGAAGGATGTTGATACTTTGAAAATAATTTGTATGCTGAATTTTAGGTCATCTGCATCAAAGGAGGATTCAGTGTTGTGTCTAACGCAACAGAATTCTATGTATTCTGTATAAATTAGCAGTTGCTGTGGGATACATGCTGTTCCATTAACGTAGCCGCAGAAAGTCCTGTTGGAGCCCTCTCATGTGTATTAATTTGTTTTTCAAAAGTTTTATTTACGTGTAAGTAGTGGAGTGCTACGAGATAATAAATAGAACAATGTTTGTTTACATAAGTGGCTGTCTTTTCTTTCGGTTACTCTTGCTGGTTATGTGGCCCAGAAAAAAAACGTTCTAATGAAATTACAATTGAAGTGTGCGAAAAGGTGACGAGGTCTCTCTGAAAAAAAAAAAGAGGGATAAAAGAAAGGGTTGGTCAAATATTTGTCCACGAGCTCAAGTTATATCCTTAAGGTTCGTTATGACTGACTGAGCACCTACATAAATAGGCTACAGTTATCTTTCAGCACACATTAATCCAACACTGGATTAGAGTTACGTTGCTAAATGAATTCTAGGATTGAAAGGAACAGCGTGGTACTGACATGCAGAGGGCATTGGGGTCTTCAAAAACAAAACACCGAAACAATCTTTCTAGCGACTGCTTGTTACTTCTATTGATATATCACTTCGTCTTAAAAATTTCCAAGTTTCGGTGCATCTTTTTTCTTCCAAGAACAATTACGCACCGAACAATCCCCCTCCATCAGTTGTTTTTTGTTGTTGTTATTGTTGTTGCTGATTGTTGTTTGCTCTTGTTTGTTTGTTTGTTTTTCATCGACTGTTTCTTCTTTCCATTTAAATATCACATAAGCTGTTTACAACTGAAGCTCAATTGAGTCGACACGAGTTTACTTAGGTACTGAGATATAATGCTTGGCTATAATTGTCACAAGAGGTAAACTCTAAACGAAGAAACTCTAAAGAAGAGATTGTAAACTAGACCGAAGGATCTAAGATAGTTTATGGTGACCAAATTTTAAAAAGCATAAATCTAGGGGTAAAGATCCGTTAAGTTTGCAGTATTCTTGTGTAATGTGTATTATTTTTGTTGGTTTGTTTTTGTTTTGTTTTGTTTTGTTTTTTTCCTTTACAGGTAATCGTTTAAAAACTATTGCCTGGGTACCTGACTACTGCTTCATCGTTGCATTTATAAGGCAACCGATGTGCAAATTCAACTCTTTGCGTTTTAAAACGAAACATACAGTTATTGCACAAAAACACTAGTCTTATTGCTACCTAATGATACACAGACAAAAGCCTAAGATGTTAGAGCAGTTCATGAATTTCCTGACCCGCTTTTAGTCCCTAATCTGACGCCGTAGGTCATTCAAAAGTTAATAACTTTCATTACATAGATATCTTTCCGAACAACAAGTACATTTAAACGATTCCATAACATTTGAGTTTACCAAGCGTATGGTAACCTTCCTCATTCGAAGAGCCAGTATCTCCAAACCTTAACTGCTTTACCGGAAGATAAGTCTTCTCAGTGAGCAGACCACTGTCCTCGCGCCACACTTCGTCGTTTTTATCGCAGTTGCACGCACGATTAACGTCAGCGCAAGTATTGCTTAACCCACAGGCGCACTTGTAGCGGTCAGCGGAAGTTGCTCCACCCCAGTTTGTCATCGCAGTAGAATCACGTGACACCCACCAACCGTGCGGGTTCTCAACTGGATAGAAAAGAAGAGAGTTCTTGCATTCGTACTTGATAAACTGCTCACAGTGGGCTGAAACAGCAGTGAGTCCAGCAAGCTGTGCCAGGCTATGCAGTCCTGCGCCAAAGTAAACAACATCCTTTGAGTAACTTCCATGTGCCTCGAATCCATTGACCTGCATTCTCGCTTCACTGTCGTGGCTTATGACTGTCAAGCCAACTCCGTTTTCAGCTGTCATGTCACACTCCACAGTGAAAGAATCATTTCCTCCTTCTCCATCAGGGTCGATTATGTAGGAAGCACTCATGGCTTTTGAGCTGTAAAGTTTTATATCACTGCAGCTTTTACCTGAAAGTATTTAACAAAAAAAGGTCTCTCGTGTCGTTTATATTATCGGTTTTTTTTACTGTAGGACAAGAGCAAACACGATGACGAATATGATGACGATGATGATGTTTTTAAAACTGGTACGAATTCACTGCAATATTCCTAAAAGGGTGAAGACTGTGTCCCACAAGTAGGGGTTTACTCAAAGTGTGTTTGAAAGGTATGAGGATGCAGGAATATGGAAAGTATTCTCTGATTTAACGCACACCTTGTAAACTTTAGCTTCTCATAGACAAACAAATCGGTTGCAATAAAGATAAAATTTCACCTGTTCGTTCACAGTGTGTCCCAGCAAATCCTGGCTTGCAATCACATCGATATGAGTTCAGTTCAAAATCAGGTATACAGTTTCCGTCATTTTTGCATGGACCACTCTCACAACGAGACTAAAAAGCATGATTGAAGCAATGAATAAATGTAATTAGAAGGTTAATTGCAATGCAACGTACACAACATTTGGCCAATCGGCTTTCTAGTATTAAAAATTTCACAGAATGGCTTATTTAAAAGTGGCTAAATTTTCTTTTCGAAAGATCTCGAACTTTCTCTGGTACTTATTTGAAATATCTTATAAAACAGATTTATAATATTATAATGTTGACAACGTACGCGCATTCGCCAGCTCATATAGAAAGTAAAGCTTGTAGAAGAATGTATTTGTAGTATTGAACTAGAAACATTTGAAAGCATCCACGATTCTCAATGTATTCATTTTAATGTCTATCCGTTCTATCGACCAACATAGAATGGAATCCCAACTTTTCGAACCACAAGCCAAGGAATTTGTTCCGAGTTATCGGTAGGTTTAAGCAAATTGGGGGTAAGATAATAGTGCTGTTCTGCAGAAGGGAAGTTAGGTTTCGGCTCAAATTATCAGGGATTTCGGAAAACTGAGGGTTCGAGAAATCGGGACTCTGCTATACTTCGCCGATATAGTTCGCCTTCTTTTCACTGTAGGCGGAGACTGAGGGCCGGGTTATAGGTGATCAGAACTTTAAATATTTTTTCTTACTTAAAGACACCCTTACTTTATTCCTTTGCGCTTTACAGTCCAAAGTGATAATTAATATTGATTTCTGCGTTAGATATGATTGAAAAAGTGCCGTATATCTCGCTGTAGCTATGCAATCAAGTAACTGCAACAAAGTCCTTTCTGTTGTATTTTGATTGAGATAGATATTTTAAATTATTGCTGACTAGAGTTAGCGATTCCCCTATTGATGCACAAATAGAAGCAATGACATCAGGGCGCTCTTCTTATAATGGCCTATATGTGAAGGCTCCGACGTGACAGAAAGGGGTAAGGAATTCCACTAGTTGAAGTGTATGAAAGGATACTCAAATTTGTCATTTCGGAGTGGTGTAAGTACCCAAAAGGGCAAACAAATGAAGTTTATGCTTTGAAAAAGTCACGAAAGCTTAGTTGTTAAGTGATGAATCGCATTTAAAGACAGCGCATATACACTTTTTTTAGTCCTCCCTCCCTGGTAATGAGATAGCAAGCTACAGGTACAGTATATCATTTGACTCACCCAAGGGCTGAAGTGGTGATAGGAAATGTTTGCTTGGAGCTTTTCTGTAGCTCTGTACTTGTCTGTGGCGAGCAGCTCACATAAATAAATTTTCTCTGCTGTAAGATACGTTCCAGTGTTTACCGAGTAACAACTTTCTTCTTCGATGCAGTGGAAAACGCAGTCGATTTCTATTTGCACCAAGAGATTTTTAATAACAGTTGCAGGTAAAACTTTGTACAGGTCTGGTTTAAAGTTTCCGTACCTGACAAGGCTCCGTCGAGAACGGGAAAGGGAACTTTGAGGCGAAGCTGGCGAGCTTCTTGTGAGATACAAAGTAAGCAGCAACTTGAACAACATCGCCGATAACTCAAGGCATTCCTTCGTTCACCCCGCTGGATTGAGCGTGGCAATAGAATCTGAAATACCAAAATTGTCATCAGAGCGAACTAAATACCTTAATGTAAATTTTCATATTTTGCCATTAATAATGAATGGAATAAAAAAAGAGTAAGAAAAGAACTGTAAGAGCATACCTTACTAGTAATTTACAGTTTCATACATAACAATATGGCATAATCATCGCTAGAAGTGTGAATTATGCTTGTTGCATAGAGTTGCATTTCAAGCTCATTGTTCATTTCTCTTCCATTCTTCTACATGGTAATCCTTCCATTCGTAAATACAACATTGGGGCAATTAATGCAGCGCGAGTTTACAAACCTGCTGCAGGAAAATATATGAATTTAAGTTTTATTTATATACTGCTGTTATTTCCAATTTTTTCTAATAAATTTTTCACTTCGTAATTGAGTGATAAATTATTCAAAACAAACTTTTCATTACAATCAAAGACCAACTCGTAAACACGTTAAAACGAACGTGTCATCTACTAATATCATATCGATTTTCTAATCACCAAACAACGAAAAGCTCTATAACGCACTCGCTATGTGATGAAACAGGAGCAATAAGGCCCTCGCGTATTAACTGAATGCTTCAAAAATGGTACAAACCAAAAGGTGACGTTATGCATTACATTTTAGGGACTTTTTCACTGTCAACAACAACAGTCGTTTCATGACTACCTTCACCCGGACGATCATAATCGACCTACTTATAAAATGACTCCTGGGTTCCAACCTTTCACAATAACAGAACTGTAAAACTTAAAGTATGAAGAGACGTCGCCATTGGTTATTCATTAAAAAAAGCAAACATTACACCTGTCACTGAAACTATTTATTGTCCGGTTGGGGTTGAGAAAGGAAAGGAAGATAAAAATTAGTTAATCATTGACAGTGTAGAGAGGGACTTACAAAGGGCTGTTAGATTATAAGTCTTGTTGAATTATAAGTGTGTTTGAACCTGCGAAACGTAAACACAAGACCTTAGACAGCTGCTTGCACTCCTCGTAGTCGGTTTAATTTGTGTATGAATGTATTTTAGATGAACGTGTTCTGCCTGCAAAGAACTGTAATTGCATAAGTTTTAATAATGTATTTGCTTTATCTGATATGAAAATTTGCTCAGTGTCTTACTATAAAGACAAAATGGAGTGGGTCACCTCCATCACCCCGTGATATTGAAAAAAAGGAAAACAAAAAACAAATTAAGCTAGGGAAAACTGGTTAATAAAGAGCTTTCGAGGCAGAAGACTTCAAAATCAAAATTATAAAATCTTAAAATTTGAAACCGATTCTGCTGGGTTCACGGGAAGCCCAAGCTCACTATCAGCAGAGTCCCTGAGCAACTCCGGCCTTTCTTAGTAGCTAATTAATTAATCATACAGCAACATAAAACCTTGGATTAGAATTTATTCTTTGCTTTATAAATGGGCGAAATACACATAAAGTTTCCCTTTTAAGCTTACCTTCAATGTTTTCTTGTGTCTATTTGAGTGTTGCCCGCGTTTCAATGCTTTTGTTTGAGCGTCGGGTTTTTACCCAGATAAAAAAAATCGGGGTCAGTGTTAACAAAGACATTTAAACGTGCTTGAGAGGCCTAAAACGCAATCTGTTTCGCTGTGCATAACGATATCGGTCATATATTCTTGTATCTTTTTTTTTAATTGATGACCACATGAGCCGGTAAAGATTATTTTAGGCAGTATTCTTTATATCAAGCCATGCAAAATATAAATTTAAGGGGAAAGACTTATAGTAGCCAGACTATACAGCCACCCCATCCCCTCAAACAAAATCGGGGAGAGAATCCCCTCAACTTTGTTTGAGGGGATTGCTGGGGCGGTTTTACACAGACTAAAACTTAAGACGATTGTATTACCCCAACATATATTTAACTGTCGTAACTGTTCATCAGTACTGATGGCTAAAATGTGGGCGATTCCACAATTACCACATGTACAACATAAGTACAGTTAGTGACAAGATATACAATATAACTAACGACAATAAGCCAAAATTAGAGTCCTCAGTGAAATTAGAATTAAGAAGAACAGATTAATGAATGATTTAAGCACGTTAGTCATATCTCAGTCAAACTGCTGCTTTTTTTTTTTTAAATTATAGTTACTGAAATTTCTTTTTTGACCGATGTTTTAAAACATCAACAAAATTATATTCAAGCAAGGTGACTATATGAAGATTTTGATTAAAACATTGTTGTTGTTTTTTAAACGGAACTGATTGTGGTTACTCTTGGTTTTTTGGACGTCTTAGCTTAAGACGAATCAAAAAGCAAACTGCGGTGATAAACAGAAGGAAATATAAATGCATTCTGAAAAGAAATGAAACTTTAACTTGACGTGGTTCCATTTTATGGATCATAAGTTGGTCTAACCATAGTAAAGATCAAAGTGAAATCGGTGTATACTTTTGCATTTGTCTTTTAGGGTAACAAACTAATTATAATTAAAAAGACAGTTATTAAAAAAGAAATTTCATTTGTTTCCGGCTCCCTCAAGGACGTGTCAACACTGAGAGTCTTTTTTTCCTCTTTTTTTTTCTATTAGCCATTCTAATAATTAAAACTTTGAATTTATAAATAATGTAAGAGACTTTGTGCATTTCAATCCACACTTAAGAGTTTCATCCTTCAGGAGGCTTAGTGTTTCCATTGTTCAACGTGTTAGTCCTTTGTTCTTTTTTTATCGATTAAAAATGGAAATCGATATATCAGTTTTAGCGCATCTTAAGATGCGGGCAATGAGTATAAGCGAAAGTTATTTTTTCCTCATAGCAGCTTACACAGCCGGGAGTCATCAATTTCATCAGGTTTGTTAGACTTGTATAATTTATCTATACATTCCCGAGTGGCAAAAGATGGGCACCACTTTAAAAGACAAAGACCTGTACGTTTGTTGTATATCATTCAGGGAATGAAACGTACCGCGTTGTCAGTACACCTAACTTGGGCGCGTTCGACTGACCTTATTCTAGAGCTGGCCGCGGATGTTGAAACGTTGGATAGCGCTGTCCAACGGATAAATCATATCCCGCGAATACATATAATGGAAGCCAATCGGTTATCCACTGGAGAAACATTTATCTAGTTTTTATTGCGTTATCCACCTTGTACGTACACCTTTTGAACAATTAGGCACTGGAGTACATTCTGTATTATTGTTGAAACGGTCTTTATGGAAAATAACTCTCTTCTTCTTTTCTTTTTTAGAATAATGTACCAAGTATATCCAGCGTCAAAATAAGCTGAAAAACGTTTTCAGGACATATTCCAGTATTATTCTGGGATTGGAATAACAATCAATTCAGCACCGACACAGATTTTTTGACTTAATCTGTCTATACCTACATTCCAGTTTAAGTTCAATAGAACGCACCCTCGATTCACTGGTTGGTCCTTGTTAGCGGAACAGCTTTTTCGAGATCTCATCTCACTTGACTAAGTATTTATATTTCGGTTACTGCCACTATCTATGCTCCCAGAAGATTTAAAAAAAACAATTAGCATAAAAGAATAAACAATGAAAGTTATTTTTAAGTGATCAATCAAGAACACTTTTTCCTTTTTATCCTGTATTAGGGAGTTAGAAAGAAAAAAAAGATGTTTCAAGCAACAACGAAATTGTTTGTTACGCTTGAAAACTTTAAGTACTTATTCAGTACTGTGAATTTGGTATTCTGATTAATGATCGTTACACATATATGTGTCATTGAAAACTATTAATATTCAGTTGCTCTGGGTTATCTTGCTGTTTGATTGCTTAACAAAACAACACAAGCATCGCAGATCTGTTACCTCGCAACAAACTCCAAACCACTGGTAACACCGACTTTTAAAAATTCAAAGGCATGTTTTCTTTTTCATTCGCTAACAACGTACCAAAGTCATACTTCTTTGTTTTGAAGGTGACCTCTGGTGGTCCCTTTTAATTTAAAGTTGAATGGCCCTCGTTTGAAATTAATACACTAACTACGATACTCACGAAATTTATTTATAAAGCAAAACAAGAATATTTATATAGTTATGAAAGAATATTGAAAATATTTTTTTACATAAGTATTTTCAAAACTGAATTATTTTATCACGAGACTTCGTTCTCTGACAAACTGATTCTATGGTAGTTAAAAAAGAATATTGAAAATATTTTTTTACAAAAGTATTTTCAAAACTGAATTATTTTATCACGGGACTTCGTACTGTGACAAACTGAAATATTTTGTAGGTCGCTGTTATGTTTAGTCCGCAAGCAGTGAATGAGAATCTCAACTGATGACACCGTCGTCTCTATTAATCAAAATAAAATGTTGGCTCAGTAGCAATAATCCACGAGCATGTCTTTTGAAAATCTAGTTTTAATGAAGCTTATTGTAGTGACACCTGTTCTCAGTTTTTCTATATGTTGAATTATTAGTTAATTGTGTGTCTGACACAGTTCGCATATGATTGAGCATGATTTAAAATATATATCTTGCACGTACGCTTGCAGTATTGTTTGTACTCAGTCAAACGAGCCTTCTCCGGCTAAATACGGTATATGAGTAAATAAAGTTACTCATACTTATCAGGTCATTACAGACACCTGATTAAAAACTAGCGAGTAGATCACAGTATTTCTAGAGGAGGCTCGTTTTTAATGCTTTGTTTTGTTTGATTTGATTGTAGGGCCAATGGACTACCTTGGAATAAGCAAGCTAGCACAATCGGGGGAAATTGCTTGGAGTGTGGCTCTTGCTGTCGTTGGGATCATGGTCATTACAGTCAACAGCATAACATTGTTCACCTTCAGAAAGTCCATGCATTTTCGATCTCGAAAACACATAATGGTCATTAACCTGGCGGTGGTTGATCTAATGTATGGAACTGCTGGGATCCCTTTAACAGTCGTATTTCTCCTAAAACCAACGTCAGTTTCTTTTTATATTTACCAAGGCTTCGTTACTTTTACAAAGATGGCGTCTCTTTTTACTTTTGGAGCAATTGCTGTGGAAAGAATGCACGCTATCGTTTGGCCCATACGTCATCAAGTTGTCCCAAACGGAGTCTATAGAGCAGCTCTGGTACTTATCTGGGTTTTAGCAGCATTTGTGACTACCTTTTCTCTGCTTCAATGGAGTGGCTACATATCCCTTATTTTCTCAGAAACGGGGCCACTAATCATCGTCTTTGTAATGATCACTGTTCTCGTATGTTACATTAGCATCTGGATATGTGTTCATCGCAGAAAACGCCGGCACCCCAATTTTGGCGCACAGGTTAAAAAGGATAAAACTTTGGCCCTTACGCTTTTGATGGTTGCAGGAACGTTTGCGGCAACATGGTGTATTCCGATTATTTATCTGTTTATTTCTAGAACATGTAAAACGTGCTACCAGCCATCCATTGCTCAACGTGGTTGCATCCATCTGATATTTGCTGCACAGTCAGTACTTAATCCTGTTATTTACTGTTTTCGATTGCCACTGTTCAAAGAAAGCCTAAAGGAGAACATAACTTGCTGGAGGGCCAACATAAGAAGACGGAGAGTGACGTCCTTTACTCTTCAAAGGGAAATAGCAAAGGACACAACTGTCTCTGTAAAATCAAACACGGAGGAAAAATAGCTGATGTCTTTTTTTGCCGCCAGATTCATCGATGATATAAACGGTGTACATTGATAGCGATTAACTAATGTTACTATTCAATCAAATATTTCCCCGATTCCGATTGGCTAACAGCACAGGCATAATTCACCATAACCAGCTACTGATGACCAAATTTGGAAGAATTTTGTCATTAATCAACCGATGACTTCAAAAATGCAGCTTTCTTAGAGGTTAATGCACAGTTAACAGAGAAGACCTGAGGACGAGGTTGAGTTGTTTTGGTTGTGGAAACAAAAATGGCGGACATTTCACTCGTTTGAAGAGTAAGAACTAGGCTAAATAATATCTAAAACCATGGCAAGAACAGCAAGAAGATAACTAGAAGGGCGACATCTGCTACCGTAAATCCTCTATTAAGCCCCCCCTCTCAAATAAGCTCCCCCCTCTCTAATAAGCCCCCCCTTTTCAGAGGAGGAAAGTTAATAAGCCCCCCTCTCTATTAAGCCCCCCCCCTCCCCCTCCCCCTCCTCCAATCCTTATTCTTCGCAAAAAAATTAACGATTAACGTGGACTGATCAGTTATGGTTTATTCATAAAAATTACCGAAGAACATGAGGTCGAAAGCACATTTTTGAAGAATAAGAATTTTGTTTTTGTTACTTTTAGGCTCCCACAAGTGAATTAAATACTTTTGACGGTGACTTTAATTGTACAATGCGTAAGTCTACT